GGAACAGGACAGACCTGAGCAGCTGACAAGGCTGAGGCTGGCAAGAAAGGAAGGGCCTTTGGGCTGGGGAGAGCCCGTAGGGCCTGTAGCTGGGCTGTGCACTTGTGTCTTTATTGGAGGGGCAGTGGTTTGCCAGGAAGTTGTCATGGCCGAAGTGGAACTTTCACTGACCTGTCCAGCTGCTGCAGTTTCAATGATCGGAGGGAGTCCCATGCTGGGGAGCAGGCAGGAGATGATGCCTCCTAAGCCCAGGGAAGGGACTGGAGAGTTCACTGATGACCGGAATGCGGTTGGATGTACCATGGGTGAAGAGGGCTGTGGGCAGGGCCCAGAGTGTATGTCCTAGTCCGGATTGGGAACCCTGTGCACTAGGTGGGGAAGACAGCATTGGGGTGCACACTGCAGGGCAGGGCTGGTGAGGAGGTGTGGCCAGCTCCCGGGGGTCGGGGGCACGCAGCAGGTGGGGGTGGAGGAGGCGGCGGCATTTCCACTATGGTCTGGTGTGGGATGACCCCGCAAGCAGGAGTGGGCTCCGGAGCCCTAGAGGCGTGCGGGTGCTGGGTGGCAGGCAATGGCCAGGTGTTGGCAGGGGAAGGAGGTATTGGGCTCACCCAAGTGGGGCAGACTCCAGCCTCTGGTCAGCGGGGGGCTCTGCACGGCAGTGGGAGAGGGAGGGGCTGCGGGTCCACCCCGTCCAGCAAGGGGTTTGGCTCACACAGAGCAGCTCTCCTCCTCCTTCCTTTGGAGATGGGAGGCAGCAGCTCTGGGTGGATTTAAGAACAGATGAACCTTGCTCTGGGCAACATCTTTGGTTTGTAAGAATAGCCCCACTGGAGAGAAGAACCACTGCATACCTGAAGCCGCATCAGGGCCTGGGGCCGGCTGGCTTAGACATCAGTCTCCCCCCGTTTGTCCCCTGCCCATCCCGAGCCGGCTGGCCCCAGCATGGCCTGGCCCGTGGGTGGAGCCATCGCTGTCCACCCAGGCTGGCCCGGGGCCAACCCCGGCAGGTCTGCCTCCCACCTGTGTTCATGGCTGCCCTCGGCTGGCACGCAGGGGGCAGCGCTCAGGGCCAACACCCACTCTGACCCGCAGGAGATCGTGGACTGGTTCAACGCGCTCCGAGCCGCCCGCTTCCACTACCTGCAGGTGGCCTTCCCCGGGGCCAGTGATGCCGACGTAAGTGCTGGTGGCTTGTATCCGCTGGGGGCCGGGGGGGCTGGCCAAGGCCCTCCACGTACCCCCACGTAGCCGGGGGTGGGTGGGTGCTGGGGACACACTGGGAGAGAGTGACCGGGAGGGCCCAAGCCTGAGCCTGTCTTCTGCCCTAGTTGGTACCGAAGCTCTCCCGCAACTACCTGAAGGAAGGCTACATGGAGAAAACGGGGCCCAAGGTGGGTCTGACCGGCTGGCCCGAGCCCCTCGATCAGGGTCTCAGCTACCCGGGGCTAGGGTGGCCGTGGAGGGTCAGAGTGCCAGCAACAGCCCCAGGCAAGGACTTTGAACACCTCACTTCGGTGTGGGTGGCCCTGGACCCCACAACCTTCTGTAAGCGGGGGCCCTGTGGACCCAGGACTGTGGGGCTCTGGGTCAGGCCGAGCCTGCCTCGTGCCTTTGCCCCCTTCCATCGGTCCCTAGAAGGGCAAACTCGGCCCCTTCCCTGCCTCGTGGAGGTGTACACATGGTAGCCTCACAACCCAGATGGGCTCTAAGGACGGGAGACTGGTAAGGAGGAGGAACTGGTGTGGTGGGGAGGGGAGGGCACGTACCTGGGAGGAACAGCATGTGCAAAGGCCCTGGGTACAGCCCCCTGGCAGAGCAGGACGTGGCACCGCCCACAGAAAGCACAAATGAGCGAAGGATGAGTGAACGCATGTGGGGGTGCCCTGCCTCAGGCTGACCGGCGGGACCCCGGCACTCTCTGACCCACAGCAAACAGAAGGCTTCCGGAAGCGCTGGTTCACCATGGATGACCGGAGGCTCATGTACTTCAAAGACCCTCTGGTAAGGGGGTCAGGGAGGGTCTCGGCCCAGGTCAGCTGGGGCCCTTGCAGGGTGGACATTTCCGCTCCTACAACATGGAGACCAGCTGTTGTCTGCTGGCCGCAGGCGGTGGGGATGGGTCTGGGCTTCCCCCACTAGGAGCACAGCTGCCCACTTGCCTAGGGGCTGCCTGGCCTCTGCCCACAGGATGCCTTTGCTCGCGGGGAAGTCTTCATCGGCAGCAGGGAAAGCGGCTACACGGTGCTGGACGGGCTCCCGCCATCCACCCAGGGCCACCACTGGCCCCACGGCATCACCATCGTCACGCCAGAGCGCAGATTCCTGCTGGCCTGCGAGACGGAGATGGAGCAGCGGGCCTGGGTGGAGGCTTTCCGGAAGGTCGTGGACAGGCCGATGCTGCCCCAGGAATACGCAGGTGAGTGTGGGTGGGGTGGCAGGACCTCCCCAGCACCTCCTGGGTGGCTATGACCTGGCTGGACACCTGTCCTTTTCCAGTGGAAGCGCACTTCAAGCATAAACCCTAACGAGAGATGGTTCTGGAGGCCCGAGGGAACCGGACTTGTTGGAAGTAGCCCTCGAGGAGGCAGCGGCCAGACTGGGGGGGCTGCCAGACGGAGGAACCAGCTTCGTGGCCCCGGCCCCGAGTGGCAGCCCCGGACATGGCCACGTGGGGCCTGAGCTTTAGCCACTAGGACCCTTTTCTCTGGAACCTCACTGCAGGCCGGCCCGACCTGCTCTCAGACCCCACCATGCTGCTGCCCACCGCTGTGACCCCTGCCACCCTCACCCCCCCCACACACACACTGAACCACCCTTCCTCTGAGGTCTGGGCCCGGCCTCCTGGCTCGGGGCAGCCCGGCAGCCCTTCCCTACCTGCCCTTGCCCCCTGCCCGCCTGAGCAGGACCCTGCCCCTGAGCAGGAGGCTGGGCTGTGGGGACAGCGGGTGGCCTGCATGCCTCCCCTCCCCCTCCTGCCCTTCCCCCAAGTCTCTGTCAACAAGTATTTATTGAGCTACCTGCTGTGTGTTGGTCATGGGGTCCTGGGTACTAGCATGGGGCACAGCATCGTTGTCCTCAACCAGCTGACGTGGTACGTGCCTGAGGGCCTGGGGGTCAGAGGCACCAGGGAGCTGCAGCTTACTGGGCCCCTGCATGCCTGGATGGGGAGGGAGAAGGGAGGGTCACCTCCTAACTGTTGACTGCCGCCCCCCCCACCGGCCACTGAGCCCTTAGAAGACAGAAGCCCAGAGTGTCCCCCCCACCCCCGCTGGACCCAATGTGCCACTGGCCAGCCGGCACTTAAAACCCTCGAGCATCCTCCCCAGGGGCCCTGGCTCCCTGTCCACCCTCGGTGGAGGGTTGGGGGGACAGAAGCAGGGGTACCTGCTGGGTGATCTGGGTGGCCCCTCAGCCCCCCTCCTATACCCTCAGACAGCCCCGGACTAGCCCTTGAGAGGTCTAGGACAGGGATCCCCAAGGCAGGGTGTCCTCTCACACCAGCCCTCATGTCCTGCTCCATAGTGGCCCCTTATGTAGGTCAGGAGCTAGGGTGTGGGCTCTGGGTCCCTAGGAGGACCTACCTGCTGGCCTCTCATACACACCATGAAGTGCGGACGTCCCCAGAAGAGTGCCCCAGGGCCTTTGCCTGTCCTCGTGGGCCCGACTCCCATGACCCCCATCTCCCTGCTGCCCCTGAGCGTGGGCTGGCTCACTCAGAATCATGTAAACCTGGATGGGGGCGGCCAGCTGCAGGGTCAAAAGAGGACAGCAGCCCCCCCCCCCTCACTCCCATCTAAGCTCTGGACCCCAAGACAGCTGGGCCGGGGAGTTAGGACAGTCCCAGGGTCACCCAGGGTCCCTGCCCCATTCTGCCCCAGGCAGGTACCCCCTCCCCAGCCGTGCCAGACGCCACCACCCACAATCACTGGCCTGTTGTCCCCGCTTCCAAACAAGGAAACTCAAGCCCCAGAGGCAGGGGGTCTCCTCCTGGGGGAAATGAATAGCCAGAGGCGCCCAGGACTGCCCCTCCGCTTGTGGGGAGCAGCCCCAGCCACATGTTCTTGGGGAGTGGCCTTCTAGACCCTCTCTGAGCCAGATGCAAGGGTGTCCTGGCCAAGACACTAACATGTTAAAAAGAAACACTTACCACTGGCAGGAGAATTTCTCCCAACGAGGCAGGACGCTCATGGCCCACAGATAGTGGTCACTGTGCTGACGTCACAGGCCTCGGCACGCCGGGATGCTGGTGGCGGTGGCCTTCGGGCCGGCGTCCGCATCCCTCCTGCTCCTCCGTAGAGATGTGAGCAACCCACGGCCTGCACGGCTACACACGGGAGGCCGCGTTCCCAGAAAATGACCGCGCCGTTCACAACTGCACGGAAGACGTGGCAGTGCTCACAGGGAAAGGGGGGTCAGGTGCATGGGCCCACGGCCCTCCAACCCGGAGGGAGGTCTCCATGTGCTGAGGATCGAGACAGACGCCGCCACCAGGAGGAGCACGGCGGGACACAGGTGTGCGTGCTCTGTGTCTATTCTGTCCGGGCAAATTCCACAAAAAGACCCAAGCTCTGCTCCAACGTCCTGCATTTCGTCATCTCAGAACAAGCATCACGGCACCAGGCAGGGGGCCCACTGCGGGCTTGGGGCCTGCCCTGGTGAGGGCTCCCTCCACCTGCAGCCGCCTCGGAGCGCCCCGGCGGGGGCCTGCCGGGGTGGGGGAGGGGCGACTCCACACTCCTTCCCCCACCCGGGTGGCCTGCACTTAGAACCTGTGGCAAGGCAGGACCCCACTGGATTTGGGGTCTCGCGTTTAGAGAAACCACCACCTTGTAGTTACACACCAATCACAAGACCCCGACACTGGCCACTCGTAGCTGCCCACAGCGCCCCCTGCGGGCACGGCGGACACAGACCGGGCCACTGCGGATGGGGTCTCAGGCCCGGCTCCCCGCCCACCAGCCTCAGGAGCTCACTCAGAAAGGACGAGTGCTGCAAAACCCAGTATAAAGGATTTATTTCAACTCAACAAGTAACACAAACCTTCGTTTAAATTCCATTTTACAGTCAACGAGAGTGTATATCTCACTCCTTCCATGCATGATCACTGTGTATTAATCTACAACTCTTACTTTAATTGTGAAAAAATAAAGTGTTTCCCTTCTCGTCATTGCTCTGCGAACATCTGGTACAGCATCAGTGGGAAAGGGCACATCTGCTCGCTCCTGGACTGGTTACAAGGTTAACACCTACCACGCCAGGTCAAAGGAATCCATCACCCAGTGAAAATAAATACCACGTCCCGAAACGTGGAAAGGATCCTGCTCCCGCTGTAAGAGCTGCCCCAAGGGGCCGTGGCCTCAGTGTGGCCTGGAGCAGCCGCCCAGACGCTGTCTGGGACCCCAGGGGACATCTGCGCAGGGCTGGTGGGACGGCGGCCACCCCCCACGCCACCTGCGACAGGGTCAGGCCCGCGGGCGCGCGCCAGACACCAGGTCGCCTCCCCAAGCAAACCAGACACAAAGGACAGGGAAAGAGGATGGTAGCGCAGCAAGGCCCGTGCTTTATTGTGGGTCAGTCTGGGGGTGCAGGGCGGCCCAGCACAGCCGCTGCAGGCCCCGCAGCCCCGGGCCGGCGCCGAGGCCCACGCGGCCCCCGCCGCCTCAGGCGGGACCCCACGGTGGGAGCCCCGTGGCGGGAGCCTCACGGCGGGAGCCCCGGGGACGAGGGCGTCTTCATGCAGGCCGGGCGGGCGGGCTCAGTCGAGCTCAATGGGGCTGCTGTCGTCCTGACTGTCCTCACCCTCCTGCTCCGAGGCGCCCATGAGGCTGCTCAGAAGATTCCCTGGAAGCAAACGCAGGTGCTGTCAGGGGCACAGCAGCTGCACGCGCTCGGCACCCCTGGCTGCCCGGGGAACCCCACCTGCCAAGCTGCCGCATTCCCGGGCTGGGACGGCATGAGTCCCAGGGAGTGCTCAGCGTGCCTGCAAGGACCTGGCAGCCAGGGAAAGACCCCGAGTGCCTACCCGTGGGACACAACCCGGCCGCCGGACGGCCCTGGAGAATCGTCCTCAGAACCCCATCCCGGGGAGGCCACTGCTAAGCGGGCACGCGCGTGTGCATCACGGGTTCACGGAGAGGTTAGGACGCGCTCCCAGGCACAGATGGTGGGGCTGCCACCACTGACAATTATCTAATTTTTAGTCAAAGAACAACGATTCAATACGAACTCAGGAGATCAGAAAGTCCCCTGAAGCCAAACCACCGTGAAAAGAAACAAAGAGAAACGTGAGCAAGGTCGTCTGCACAGACTCGGGCCCATGAAATTGGGTCCAACGAACACGCCACTAGCGGCCCGGGCACTGGGAGGGGCGAGGCGGAGGTGCCAGTGGGAAATGAATGGGCACCAGCGTCGGCACCCCTGTGTGGGGGCGACGGCGGTGACACAGCAACAGCAGCCCGGCTTCAGACACACGGCCCTGGCCAGGCCCGCACGGGGCTGAAGCACCTGCCACACAAGGTCCAACAGCCACCAACGACTTTCAAAATCCTCTCAGACCAAAGACCTTTCCACAGAGCGGAGTTTGGCTCCAAGGACACAAATCCCACCCAGGCCAGCCCTGCAGGGCCCCCGGGGCAGGGTGCCGCCTGGATCTGGGGGGGGGGGGTATCACGGAGCCTGGTGGGACCAGCAACCCCCCCCCGCCCCCATCACCTGGGGCTGCCTCCACTCTGGCAGGAGCACGCTGGCATCTGGGTGGGGGACGCGTGCCCCTTGCACAGACCAGCCACCTGTGACTCCGCAATGTCTCCCCAGCAGGAAGCTGAGGAGGGAAGCCTCCGTGCTGTCGGGCCGCAGGAGCCCTCTCCGGGGCTGTCTAGGTGGGACTAGGTGCGTGTGGGTGAACGATGAACTCCGGGAAACGATCAACTCAAAAATACCACCACGTTCAGGCTCCGAAAAGCCACATTCAGAAGAAGAACTAAACCGGCCTCTGGCTGGTGGAAGGAAGAAGTCTGCACGAGACCTCGGGGAAGGCCAGACCATGTCGCCAGGCAAGGCAGACATGGGGCGGAGGCCTGGCCTCCAACACCCACCAGGACCAAGTCACAAAGAAGTGACCGTCCAAATGGGCCTCTGAACCAGTAAGGAGACTGGATCTATCATCAAAACTTCCCAACAAAGAACAGCCGCGCCCTGATGGCTTTCCTGGTGAGTTCTACTTAATGACCAACACCGTCCTTCCCAAACTTTTCCAAAACAATCGAGGGGGAGGAGCACTTCCCAATTCATCCAACGCAGCCAGCAGAACCTCAGAGATGCTACGAGAAAAATCACAGACCAGCGACCCCTGTGAACACGGAGGCTACACCCTCAACGGACCTCTGGAAAGCGGACTCAGCAGCACAGCGAGGACGACACACCACAATGAGCAGCTTTACTCGTGGAACGCACGGAGGGCCCCCCTGAAAACCCGCCAGCGTGACGCCCCACGCCAGCACAACGAGGGGAAGCCCACACGATCGTCCATCTCTACTAATGCAGCAACAGCGCTGGACTAAACCCGACGCTCGCGTACAAGCACTCAGCAAACCGGGAACAGGAGGCGCGACCTCCACGCACTGACCGCCGTCTCGGAAAACCCCCCCGGCTAACGTGATCCTCGACGGTGAAGGACTGAGAGCTCCTCCTCGGGGAGCGGGAACGAGGGGAGGGCGCCCGCCCTCACCACCTCCATCCCACACAGTCCCGGACACTCCGGCCGGGGCCGCCGGGCATGAGAACGAAGGAAGAGGCATCTACAGCGGAAAGGAAGGAGCAACACGATCTGTCTGCGTAGGACATGGTCTCATATGCAGAGAACCTGAACGCTCCAGGAAGGAGCTGTCGGAGTAAGGGAATCCGGCAAAGGAAGGGGCACAAAGTCAGCACGTGAAAACACGCTGCATTTCTTTACGCCAACAATGAACAATCTGGAAAAGAAATGATAAAAATATTCCATTTACAACAGCATCAAAAAGATTAAAATACTTAGGCACTGACCTTAACCAAGGAGACGAAGGACTCACCCACGAAAACCACTGACCACCACGGAGAGAGACTGAAGTCATTAACGCATGGAAGCACTGCCCGTGTCAATGGGCTGGGGGGCTTGACACACTGCCTAGACCAAGGCCACCCAATGCCATCCACAGATTCCATGCCGTCCCTTTCAGAATCCCCATGGCTTGTTTGCAAGAAAAACATCCTAAAACGTGTATGGAGTTGCAATGGACCCAAACAGCCAAAATGATCTTGAAAAAGAACAAAACTGGAGGGCTTGCACTTCCTGATTTCAAAACTTCCTACAGAGTAATCCCAGCAGTGTGGCATGGGCACGAAGACACAGAAAGCCCAAAGAACACAACAGAGAGCCCAGAAATAAGCCCACGTGCATGGCGGTCAAGCCATCTCTGACAAGGGTGTCAAGACCACTCAGGGGAACGAGTCTCTTCAGCAAGCGAAGCCAGGACACTGGACCCCTACCTCACACCAGGTACAAAAACCCTCTACAGGGATCAAGGACCACTGTGGAAACCCAAAACCAGTAAAATTCTTAGAAGACGACATGGGGCAAGAGCCTCACAGCCCTGGGCCGGATGAGGACATTAGGGATTGACACCAAAGGCAGGAGCAATGGAGGAGAGACACCTAAGCTGGACTGGAGGAAAATTTCGAATTCTGTACATCCCAAGGCAGTGCCCACACAGACAGAAGGCAGTGGAAGGTGGGCAGACAGGATTTTGGGGACAGAAACGACTCTGCATGGCTCTAATGTGGACACGTGTGCCCGAACCTATAAACGTATAGCATGTAAAGTACCCCCAACGTGAACCCCAAACTTCAGGTGACATGCTGTGTCCGTGCAGGTTCAGGGTTCTGACACAGTCACCACTCAGACGGGGACGCCGTGAACAGCTGTGATGGGCAGGGATGGAAACGGATACACCTTCCTTTGTATCTTGCTGGGAAGCTAAAACTGTTTTCATTTACCTTTTTAAAAATATTTATTTATATTTTATATCTATTTATTTTTTCTATTTATTTTAGAGGGAGTGCACGTGAGCAGGGGGAGGGGCAGAGGGACAGGGAGATTCCCAAGCAGACTTCACGCTGAGCGCGGAGCCCAACATGGGGTTCGATGTCGTGACCCTGAGATCAGGACCTGAGCCGAAACCAAGAGTCGGATGCTCAACCACCAAATGTACCACTCAGATGCCCCACTGAAAACTGCTCTTAAAAAATAATGTCTTAAAAAAAAAAAAAAAAAAAAAAAAAAGAGGCAATCCAGAGAATGGGAGAAAATACTTGGGAATTTTATATCCGACAAGGGATCAGTATCCAGTACAGAGAAACCACCCGCCGATTCAAAAACAGGCACGTGACTTGAAAGGACACAGAGACATACAAATGGCTAATAAGCACAAGAAAGGCCGCTCAGCACTACTCATCGTCAGGGTGACGTGACTCAGAGCCACGGTGAGGGCCCCACACCCACTACCGAGGCACAGACAACAGCAAACATGGCGGGGACGTGGAGAAACTGCCCCTGTGCGCAGCTGGCACGACGGGGAACAGGGCCGCTGCCATGGAAGACGGTCGGGCAGCGTCTGAAATCACACCAAATCTCGCTGTGCCCCAGCAATCCCACCTCGGGGGTGTTACCCAGAGCAGCGGCTGCAGGGGCTCAAAGAGACGCACACGCCCCCGTATTCACAGCAGCACACGGGGTCCCCCACAGAGGGATGGGCGACGCAGTGCTGTCCATCCACACCACGGAGGATGGGCTAGCCTTCGAAAGGGAGGGACGAGCCCCAAGGACATGAGCCAGACAAAGAAGGGCACACACGGGGGCCCCCCACACAAGGACCTGGAGTCATCAGACTCACAGATACAGAGAGCAGACGGCAGGGCTGGGGCTGGGGGAGCAGGCAGGGGTCTGTGCATCACGAGGACCGGGTCTCCATAGGGGGATGGAACGTTCTGGAGCCGGACAGGGGGATGGTGCCCCTGAACTGGACACTGAGAAATAGTTAAACAGCAAATTTTGGGATATGTGTATTTTACCAGAATAAGAAAAGAAGAAATCCGCTTTGGCTCTGTGCCAAAGGAGAGGGAGAACTAGGGCCAACAAGACCCTCTCGGCTGTGTCTGGGACTCTGCTGGAGAAGGACTTCGAGGCCAGGCAGAGACACGGAACCGCAGGAGAGCACCCCGACAGCGTCAGGGGAGAGAGAGCCCCGGGGGGAGGCCAAGGGGTGACACGGCCATGGTGGCTCTCCTCCCTCCCACCCAGGTGCACCCTGCTTAGGCCTTACCTAGCAAGCCCCCGTAGGAAGACGTCTGCTTGGGCGGCACGCCGAAGAACAGCTGTCCTATCCTGTCGAGGTACTGGAAGGGCAGAGGCATGGGGTCACCGGGGAGCCCACCCCCACCCCCAGATTTCCTGCCCCACTGCGGCCCCGGCCTCTCACCTCGTTGTACATCGGGTCCCGCCGCAGGGACGGCTGGTACTGCTCGCACAGCACTGTGAACACTGTCAGTTTGCCCCTGGAACACAACAGGGGGTCCGGCTCCGTTTGCAGGACAGTCCCAGAGGGCCCCCCCGAGCCCAGCGCGGCCGCACGCCCCGAGCACCCAAGGGCTCACCCGTCCACAGCCAGCAGCAAGAACCAGATAAAGTTGAGCAGAGGCTGCACGAACGGAGGGCCGTGCTCGATGGACGGGTGCTTCTGTGTGTAGGTCGTGAACACCACTGACGCGCTGCTTTTGTTCTTTAAACAGAGAAACCTGGAACCAAGAGCCCAGTAAGCGGGCTGCTGGCGGAGGGGGACGCCGTGGCCTTTAGCAGGGGCTCAGGTCCATGCCGGCTCGAGGGAGAAAGCTGGCCGACAGCTGCGGGGCCGCCCGCTCACACCATCCTGCAGCTCCGGCAAACGAGGGCCCACCGTGCCGAGCTCTGTGCTCAGACCAGCTGCACCCCCATGAGCAGGGCACCCCCACCCCCTGCTTGCCGCAGTTGACCGGTGAAGGAATGCAGCTTGGGAAGGTGACCATCCCAGGTCAACGGAGCTCGGATGCTGTGGAGAGTTCCCCAACGACGGCTGGTTTACACCCATCGGGCCCCTGCCGACAGAGCAGTCAGCCCAGGGGCCCGAGCTCTCTGTCCCCGGGAACGTCTCTGTCCACAGGGGTCCTGGGCGACAGCTGGACGAGCTGTGGTGGGGGCCTCCACCTTGTTAAGGGATAAGGGCCGAGAAGAAGGTGTCTGGTGGTTGCACACAATCCCGCCCAGCCTGGGGACCCTGAACACCATATACCCCACAGGCTGGGGCAGGGAGCTCAGGTGTCTAGGAAACGTCTCTGTTTCTGAGTTGGGGACGGCAGCCCTGCGTTGCTGTGCAGCAGAGCATGGAAGCCCCAAGCGCTGCTGGGTATGTATGGTGAGTGTTCTGGGGCCCCAAAACCCCCTCAAACCCGTAAGATGTTTCCTATCCTGACGCCCAGCCACCAAACCGGAGTCTCTCTACCGGACAAGCACGGGCAGGAGAAGCCTGGAGCAGGCCTGCTACGGGCCAGGTCGGAGATGAGGAAGCGAGGAGGCCTGATGGATGGGGGACAGACTTGGGACACAGCTTGTGGGGAACCTTCAGACGCGCGGGACGCCTGGGAAGGCAGGAGCAGGCTTGGGAAAGCTTCAAAGGCACACACACTCCCCATTCCAATACACCTCATAAAATTTACTAAACATACATGCACGTGGCACCTTGGGGGCTCAGTCGGCCAAGCGTCTGCCTTCAGCTCGGGTCATGGTCTCGGGGTCGCAGGATTGAGCCCTCATCGGGCTCCCTCCTTAGCAGGGAGCCTGCTTTTCTCTCTGCCTGCCACTCCCCATGCTAGTTCCCTCTCTCAGTCAAATAAATAAATAAAATCTTTTAAAAAATAAACAGGGCCTACAAGAAACAGTGGCCTGATGCTAACAAAAACAAAACCCACCAAAGAGGTGATGTGAGAAAACAGACACTGGGGAGCCACAGCAGAACGCTAGCTCTAAACAGACACTCGCGTCCGTGGCAGCCTGGCAGAGTGGAGAGGGACAGCGTGACTCAGTGGGAGGGGAAAGGAGCTATCTGCGGCAGGGCCACGGGGCAGACCCGGCAGCTGTGCAGGGAGACGGGACCCCACGAGCGTGGTACTTACTGCAGCACGGCCTGGGCCACGAACATGTCCACCTCGCTGCGGAAGCCCCTGGAGGTCGAGTACTCCACCAGCATGTGGGCACAGCCCTCGCCGTCCGCAGAGTGCAGGAAGTGGTACCGGGACTCACAATAGTTCTGCTCTACAGAGGAGAGGGGACACCGATGAGTGTGCATGGGTCTCTGTGCCGGCCCCTGCCCGGCTCTGCCGCGTCACATTCAGCAACGCAGGAAGCTTTGGGGCTAAGAACACCACGGGCACGTCTGCTCTAACGCTCAGCTGTTCGTAACCACTTCTATTTTTTAAAAACAACGACCAAAATCCCAATCTTCTCAACATCAGTAAATGACTCAGGCTGTAAACTTGCTCTCCCCATTCATCACCGGAAAATCGATCTACCTCCTGTCCCTCTCCCCGCCCCACCCTGGTGGACAAAGCACAGGACACCCAGAGTGGCTGCGGTGCCAAGCAGAGCCCCAGCCGAGGCCAAGCCACCCCCCAGACCACCTCCCCCCACCGTGGTCCATCTTCTGGAGCAGATGGGATCACACCCGTCCTGCTCACAAGCCACCTGGTTCCCACACCTTTCCAGGGCTCAGGCCCCATGCCTCAGCTGCCTCCACCTCCTGCTGGGAACACCTGCTCCAATGGACCTGGCTGCCCTCCCGCCCAGGGCAGCTGCCCTCAGGGCCCAGACTGCCGCCTTCAGAAACACAGAATAATTCTGAGTCAGCATTTCTCTGTGTAACTGTGCTGTCTCTCCTCTCTCCCTCAGACCCCCTGGATAACTTTCTGGCTTTAGAGCATCGTGAGAGGAGAAGTTAGGCAAAACCACACCCACAGGCCCTGCCCTGCACAAGGATCCCTCCACGAACTGGACTGGAACCCACGCAGGAGCAGCTCTGGCATAGTGTGGGCCCGACCACAGACCGCAGCAAAGCAACCTCTTCAAAGCCAGTCAAGCTTCTGGGTTTCCCAGGGCGCGCAAGAGCTGTGCTAAGACGGGGGTCTGCTGAGTGTGACAGCACGGTCTAAAGCCCAGGTACGGGCCTCCAGAAACAAATGCTTGATGGCTACGAGACGCTAACCAGCTCCTGAGCTTCCAGGGAGTCCTCATCGTTGTTGCTGGAGGAGGGGCCTGCCTCGATATTGGTCGCTGCAGACTGATCGGGGCTGCTGGCGGTTGGGGTAGCCGTGCCACGTTCTTAAAATAAGTCAGCAACGATGTTTTCTGCACTGACGGGGTCTTCCCTTCAGGAGGGATTTCTCTGGAGCGTTTGATGCTGTAGGTAGCATTTACCCACAGGAGAACATCTTTCAGTGTGCGAGTCAGTCCTCTCAAACCCCACTGGTGCTTTATTAGCTCAGCTGAAGCCATCCTCCGTATCCTCTGTGGTCACTTCAACAGTGGCCACAGCATCTGCACCAGGAGCACATCCCATCTCAACAGACCACTTTCTTTGCTCCTCCAGAAGACGCAGCTCCTCGTCCGGTAAAATGTGAGACGGCAGCGGTTCAGTGCCACGTTCAGGCTCCACTTCTGATTCTAGTTCTCTTGCCATTTCGCCACATCGGCAGTGACTTCCTCCACAGAGTCCTGAACCCTCAAAGTCATCTATAGGGGTTGGAATCAATGTCTATCAAACTCCTGTCACTATTGATGTTTTGACCTCTTCCTACGAATCATAGGTGTTCTTAGTGGCATCTAGAATGATGAATCCTTTCTGGAAAGTTTTCAATGGACTTTTCCCAGAACCATCAGAGGAATCACTGTCTATGGCAGCGAGAGCCTTACAGAGTGTGTTTGTTAAATAAGAAGACATGAAGGTTGCAATGCCTCGTTGATCCATGGGCTACAGAATGGATGTTGTGTCAGACATGAAAACGACATCTCTCCTGCTGCCCGTCTCCATCAGAGCTCTCGGGTGGCCAGATGCTTTGACAGCAAGCAGTAATATTTTGAAAGGAATCTCTTTTTCTGAGCAATAGGTCTCGACAGTGGGGTTAAAATGTTTAATAAACCATGTTGTAAATAAACACACTGTCATCCAGGCTTTGTTGCTGCATCCACAGAGGCCAAGTAGAGTAGATTTAGCATAATTCTTAAGGGCCTGAAGATTTCCAGATGGTACATGAGCACTGGCTTCAACTTACCGTCACCAGCTGTATTAGCCCCTAACAGCAGTGTCAGCTTGTCCTCGGAAGCTCTGAAGCCGGGCGTTGACTTCTCTCCAGGTACGGAGGTTCTGAAAGTCCTGGAAGGCATCTCCTTCTCTCCGGCGGTTTCTTCTATACCTAGAGGCTGCTGTGGAGCGCGGCCCCATCAGTAATGACCTCAGCTCGCTCGTCAGTGTCACTGGCCACAGCTTCTAGGTCACCACGCACTTCTAGGTTATGGAGAAGACTTCTTTCCGGAATCCGCCTGGAGCCGGCCTCTACCAGCTTCACAGCCCTCTTCTGCAGCCACCTCGCCTCCCTCAGCCTTCATGGAATCAGGGAGACTCAGGGCCTCCCTCCGGATCAGGCTCTCGCTTGAGGGAACATCACGGCTCAGCTACTGTCGCAACCACTCCAACCGCCTCCACGTCAGCCAGAGGCTGTTTTGCGTCCCCATCATCCAGCTGTCACCGGAGGAGCCCCTGTCACGTCCTTCTGGAGCCTGTCCTTTGCATTCACTACCTGCTCTTTGATGCAAGAAGCCTGGCTTTCGCCCCACCTCAGCTTTGGACACGCCATCCTCACCGAGCTTAACATTCTGCAGTTTGTCATTTAAAATGACAGACATGGGACTCTTCCTTTCACTCGAATGCAGAGAGGCCACCGTAGGATGAGGAACTGGCCCAATTTTGATATTGCTGGATCTCAGGGAACAGGGAGGCCAGAGGAAGGGGAGAGACCTGGGAACGGCTGGTCGGTACAGTAGTGAGCACACACATAGTTATCCAGGAAATTCACCATCTTCCATGAACGTAGGTCCTAGTGCACCAAAACCAGGACCATATCAAAGACCATGGTCACAGACCCCATAACAAGTTATAATGAAAAAGCCTGTGCCATTGCTAGAATGACCGACCGTGGCCCAGGGACACCAAGGGAGCAAGTGCTGTCGGAAACATGGCGCCAGTGACCTTGCTACAGGCAGGGCTGCCACAAACCCTGAGTTTGTGAGACACATAGTAGGATAGAGGGACTGCATGACGGACCCCCACACACAGCGAACATCAGGAGGGGGCAAGCTGTGGAGAGCAGACTGGCAGGATGGCGGGTGGCTCCGTGCCCACAGGGCCACACCTGCCTGGAGATCCCGATTGGGGGCCCGCCCCCAGGCACTGCAGCTGGACAGACATCCCTAAGCACGGCCTCCGGACACAAGCTGTGGACACTGTGGGGAAGGACAGGACATGGACTCTGCGCTTGTCTCCCTTGGGGCTTGTGGCTCAGGTACTACGTGTGACCATGGTCTCTTGAATTTGAACATCGTACTAGTAACCGTCCATGCCTTACAGCTGGCTCCTAGCCAACTAGGGCTCTGAGGGACTCCTGAGGCCTGAGTTCCTCTTCTCAGCCACAGATGCAGGGTCATGCCCCATTTCCCTCCTGGTGTCCCCCATGCACCCCCAAATATTGCCTGGGCAAAAGTGGTGCCAAATACTGCTCGCCGGCAATCACGGTTTGCCACAGGTGCCCCTGACCGTGCATCTGGCCGTCCACCCGCACGCGCAGACTCAGCACCTCCTGAAGTCAAGGTGGGAGTCAAGGGTGGGGGCTTTTGGGATTCCCCCACCCCTGCCAGGCTGCCAAGCACAGATAGCCTCTCTCCGAGGTCAGTGACTAGGACATACCAGTGTCCCGTGGGCAGGACAGACAGAAAATACATGGGGACCACGCCAGTTGGGAAGGCCAGGGTGGCCTGGGGGATGGAGGAACCCGCCACCAGCAGTGGGTGAGGCCAAGGCTGGAGGAGCAAGGCGCCCGCAGGGAACGCACATTAGAAGAGGAGGGAGCCCAAGATGGCCTTGGCCTCAAAATGCCAGATGCTCTTTCTTGGGCCCCATGTGCTTCTTGGGTGGGCATGGGGAAGAGACTCAGCCGCGCCCTTCAAGGAGGGCTTCCTTAACTGTCCAGACTTTGAATGGACGTCTGACCATTTTCTCTTCCTATCCCTCTGGGGTAAGGGTAGTGCTGGCAAGCCAATAGGCAGGAATGGAGAAACCTCCTGCCTCGTGGGTCACAGCGGGTGGGGACACACAGTGGAGTAAGCGCATGGCCCGCAGATGCGCACACAGCTGGCTTCCCAGCCTACACAAGGGCCGGGTTCATGGCGGGTGCCCACCACGTGCATGCTGTTGCATGAGAAACAGCAAGAAGGCACCCTGGGCCCGCTGGCTGTGGGGGAGACAGATCCGTCTATCTGACCACCGCACAGGCTTGCTGGAAGCAGGCTGTTTCCGGGAGGAGCCTGCTGTCACAGCCGTTCCTGGTGAAGGTCGTCTCCAAGTGAAGGACGTTGCCCCTCAGCTCCCACCAAGGCCCCGCCCCGCCCCACGCACTGCCGGGCTGCCGGGAAGGCTGCGGCGGCGTGAATGAGCTGCCTGTGGATGTTCACCACACAGGACAGAGCTATTCGAATTCTCCAGAACAAATGCTGGTCAGAGCACCCAACCATGTGCCTTTTCCAGTGAGCAGCAGCCTCTCAGAGCGGGATGGGAACCACATCCAGAAACTCCCAGGATCCCTCCTCACGGATCCCCCCCCAAAAATGCTTACTCAGAAGCTGAGATAAATATGAAGAAAACGCAGAGCAGGTGCCATCAAAGGGCCAGTCTGGGGAGGCTGTCCCAGAAAGGAGGCTGGGGGGTGCGCCCGAGGCCCACGGACAGGTAGAGCCAAGCCAGTGGAGAGCAAAATCTCCCCTCATACCCAGTGTCCCAGGAGTTTACCTGATTAGAACAGCTAATCGAAATAAAAGCCATGTACATAAAAAGGGACAGCTGTTGCCGGGACCGCCAGCACCCGCCCAAGAGTAGCTCTGTGCACAGGTGCCCCAGACCTACCTTTCCACAGCGTGAGGGCCAGCAGCTGGTGGAGCCGGGGGTGGCCCAGCTTCCCAGATCCTCCACTGGACCACTTCAGGGCTCGAGACACAAAAGCCACTCGCTCTGGGGAATTGGGGTCCATCAAACTGAACAGTTTGGCCAGATTTTCTAGAACAACACGAATACAGACTCTTAGCCACAGAAACACGCTACTGCTCAGCTCTGTATCCCACATCTTATAGTTCACGAGAACAACTACTTTGCTTCAAAACCGGGGAATCGGCGTGCTGGGGTGGCCCCATGTCCCTATGGGCCCCAGGTCCCAGGACCCCCCAACCAACCTCTTGGCTGCAGAGCCAGCAGCCACATGCTCTTTAATGATTGCCTCACAGCTCAGCGTGTGCCGGGGAGCGGAGGGAAGAAGGGGGGTGCTCCAGCAGGAAGCTCACCCACAGAGGAGCAAGGCCTGGCGGGTAGGGGGATAACCCGTGGGAGTGCAGCAGCGGGTGCAAGCCCCTCCTCCATCCTTCCAGCTGGGCCGTCCCTAAGGAGGACGTCCCCCACTGCACATTAACCACATGGGGCCGGCAAGCCAGGTCTCCGGGACAAACCAGAGGCCACCATCGCCAAACAGCGCATGGGGGTGTCACCACTCCACACGCGCAGGGGCCTCCCGCGCAGTAAGAGCCTCACCCAGCAGCTCATCCGCCACCTCGACTTCCGCCTTCTCCAGCGACTCTAACACCAGCATGGACAAGTCCGCAGCACTGTTTTGCTATAAAACATGGAAGCGAGAATCACAAAAACTGAGCTCCGGCTCGAGCTCAGCAGCCGTGGCGGACCTAAGCTGGGAAGACCACTCCGAGCACAGAGCTCACCTGGCAGCGCGGCCTGATGGACCGAGACCCCAGCTGCACGCGCAGCACCTCAGACAGCGCCCCGCGATGTGAACACACTGGCCCGGAAGGGTCAGGGCCAAGCACAGCCTGTAGCCCTCCCCCAGGCCTCTCCCAGCCTGCAGGCCCCACGCAGGGAAGGGGACGAGGTCGCTGTGTACCTGGCCGTGGCTGAAGAACAGCAGCGCCCCCGAGCACATGAGCTCCCGCGCCTCTGTGTGCTTGTTCTGTGACATGTACCTGTGAGAGAGAGCGGAGCCCCAGTTAGGTCCAGTCGGGCAGACAGCCCCCAACGGACACGAGAGCTAAAGCACACGGTCCGCACACAGGCATGCAGGCACGTGGGCGCACGGGCCTCCTACCACAGATGGGAGTGCAAATGCATTCTCTTTCCTGAGCCCACCGCCCCACCCGGCAGTCACGGCACCCTGCCCCCTGAGTCTGTCCAGCCTCCACACTGGGGTGGCTCCACAACCCAGGTCCCCCTGGTGTGCACGGAGTCCCTGCTGTCAGCAGCTCCAACCTCAGGGGACCAGCGGACTTGGGCGCCACATGTGACAGCAGAGCTGGCAGGGGACACTGTCTGTGCCCAAACAGCCCTAGAGCAGCTCAAGGGTTTCAGCAGGACCCAGAGAAAGGCTGGATGACTTACACCATGAGGCACGTCCAGCCACGGTGGTAGGAGCTGCATGTGGGACACAGTGTTACACTGGGGTCCACTGGAGAACTAAGGGTCAAGGCTGCACTCAGGGGTTGGGACAGCGAGAGCTCCAGGATAGAGACCTCTCGGGTGGGGGACACGCACACACAGCACCCACTGTGATGACTGCACTGACCATCCCTGCGGTCCCTCCCCCATCCCTGTGCTCTCCTCTTGCCCCTCCACCCCTCTGTCCTGCCTCACTATCCCACTTCGAGCACATTTCTCAGTTTCCCTGAACTACAAAGACAGAAACACAGAGCAGCCAGAGCCCAGCCCATAACTAAACCCAAACAACGGGGCGATGGTCCGTCTGCAACAGACAGCGTTCAGCGAAGCACCGGTGGGCCCCAGAGTATACAGCAGGAGGGAGTGCCTGAAGGCCGCACGGGACCAAGCACGTGCTGCTGGATGCTCCAGTCATCGGCTGGAACTCAGCTCCATGATCCTCAGAAAAGAAGTACAACCAAAAATACAACCAGTAACGTCTGTGCCTCCCAGTCCAGACACAACAAACTAGAGATACTAAAGCAGCAGCCCCAAGGGGCTACCAAGACAGACCAACACCAGACAGGCGCACCAGGGAGCCTGTCTGCAGCTTACCGGGACCGACAGGGCAGGGGGGAATGTGAGGGCTTGGTGTTCAACTAACCACAGAAAAGGTCTTTTCTTCAAAAAGTTCCATAACCAAACACCCCCCTCCCCGCCCCAGAGAACCCAACCCCATCACAGTCACACATAGGGGAACCCAGTGGGCCCAGACATGGCCCCAACAGAAGACCCCATCTGCTGGGTAGGGGGGTGGGGCCAGCGAGAAGAGCCTGCACCCCAAGAAAGGAAACCACTGCCAGCCCACCGTCATCTGCGCGGCCTGCGGTTTCTGCAGCAGGACTTCTGTGAGCCGTCTGTCTCTCTCCTTTGCACATGTACACAGCCTACTCCCACACCAACCGAGCTCATCCCGGTCTGGTTCTGCTGGGAGCCACCCTGCCCACGACCCGTGGCCAGCACTGCCACAGGCAGCTCTGGAAAGACGAGTACGCGGAGGCACACCACCTTATGTTGCCATTTCCATGGACACATAGGCACTTCTAAGTGACAATCTCGCCAGCGTGCTAGGGCTTACGCAAGACGTGACAGAACTCTAGACTCCTCCGTCTGATGCAGTGCAAGAGACAACCTCTCAAAACACCCCATGAAGGAAGCTGCCAAGGAGCAGGTGACAGCAAATCCCTGGGGTAACAGGGCCTGCTTTCAAGCACCCACGGCAGGTGCCTCCCTTCCCGGGGTTGGGGGCCAAGGGGGAGTGAGGCGATGCGCCACAGCCAGCACTCGTCCCATCCACATGAGATCACCTGTTGCAGATCAAGGAAAGCTGGGGGGTGGGTGGGTGGATAAAGGCAACGCTGAGAAATGAGCGTCCTTCTTTTGGCAGAACTCAGGGAACAGGAAGGGATTTAGTTGTCTGAGTCCAAGGCTTGGGAGGCTGCTGAGAGCAAAGGGAGCAGGAACCCTCCAGCCCGGCACCATCCCCGCAGCCCTGCCGCCTGCACCCCCATGCCTACACCTTTGGAAGGTGTACCTGCTCAGCGCACCTGGGGGACACATGCTGGTGTCATCTGCCAGCTGCCAACTGACTGGAGGCGGGGGGTCGGGGGTGGGGAGCAGAGGGAGAAGCTGACTCCCCATGGGGCTCCATCCCAGGACCCCAGAATCATGACTTGAGCCGAAGGCAGACGCTGCACCAAGACACCCAGGCGCCCCAATAAGTTTTTCCTTTAAAAGTTTTTCTTCATTTTATTTAAGAGGCAAAACCACGCAATTCTCAGAAATGCCCCCGGTGGGAGGCAGGCTGGCTGCAGAGCCCCTCCTGGGGGGTGACTATCCCAACACTGGGCCAAGGAGCCCTATGGCCACCCCGTACAACAGCCATGAAAGCCAGAAAGTGGGTGGAGGATGACCAAATGCCCCAAACACAAAAGGCCTGGAAAACAGACTCCCTCCTCCTCTGAAGACACTGGGTGGCCATCCGCTGGCACCAGCTGAGCCACCGGGCCTCGACTACTGCCCACAGCTGAGGCAGGTGCACCGAGGAAGTCCAACCCACTGGACTGCCCGATTCCATGCCCCCTCTCCTTCACCTGCTGTGAAACACAACAATTAAAACAGTGCAATTTGGGGGGGCGCCTGGGTGGCTCAGTGGGCTAAGCATCTGTCTTCGGCTCAGGTCACGATCCCAGGGTCCTGGGATCGAGGCCCCTGCTTCTTCCTCCCACTCTGACCCTTCCCTTGCCCAGGCTCCCTTGCACATGTGTGCACTCGCTCTCAAATAAACAGAATCCTAACACCACAAAACAAAACAAAAAAACAGACCCCAATTTGGCGAATGTATCCAACAGGTGAGTGGGTAACAAGCTGTGGGTCCATCACAGGACAGCATTCGGCAATAGAGATGAACTAATGCTTTACACGTGGGGAAATCTCCAAATAATCATGCTGTGTAAACTCAAAATGCACAAAAAGCGGGTATGATTTCACTTACAAAACATTCTAGAAAATGCAAATCAAACTATGGGGCCACCGAGAGCAGTGAGTGCCTGGGGGTAAGGGGGTGTGAAAGATGGATTCTGAGAACAGAGAAAAGAACCTTAGCAGTGATGGCTGTTCTCCCTATCTTGGTTGGTGATAGGTTCATGGGAACATATGGGCCAAAACTCCTCAAACTGTATGTTTCAGGCAAACAAATATAGACATGTATGTTGACTTACAAAAGGCCCAGAACCTAGTATAACTCAGTGAATCAGACTTGTCCAAGAGCCACACCCCCCAGGAGGGTCTCAACAGGGCTGGGATCACAGGTCTGCATGGACAGCACCCTGGCAGCCAGGGACAACTCCAGGATAGTTCAGCCAGGCCTTAAGGACGGTCACAAACGCCACCATTAACTTTGTCCCCAGTGGGGCCAGTGGCAGATTTCTTTCTCCCAACTTCTGAGCAGTGTCGGTGCACACCAGATGCCCCACGAGGAAGCCAAGGCTGGTCTTAGATCACAGAGCACACATGGAATTCAAAGCCAAATCAAGGCTGGAGTGGTGGAGAGCCTGCTTTCTATCGCCACCCCCAAACACACCGTGGGCAGAGAGACTTGCCTCTTCAGGCTCATCCCACAAGGCAAAACGTCTCAAAACAGGAAACACTGTTTCTTGTTGGGAAAATGGGAGTTTTGCTGATTAGTAATCCCTAGAACAACAAGCACCTAGGTCTATCTGGAGCGCTCGGAAAGCTCCCCTCACACGGACTTCTGGCAGGTGAAGCTGCCTACGTCCAGCAGCACGCACTCCAACCCGGGCTCCTCCAGGCAGCGGAGCTGAGCATGGCCGGGACAGGACCTCAGAGTCTGCGGAGACACTGACCCCTCTTGCCACTTGCATATCGAAGTCTGGGCCTGATGGTGAAAAGCCTCCCACGACCCTTCAGCTCCCCGCCACACAGCTGGGGCAGAAAAGGCCCTCCACGGACCGGAATAAACTCTTGCACCTGTCGTTCAGGCCTATCCCTCCCAGCGAATCCCCTCCACTGCTCCGCCCGGACCGTCCAGGGTCACCGAACGCCCCGCGCAGGCGACAACTCGGATCACAGCAGCCACGCGCCACAGCACAGCTCTCGTGGCCCCGCAGCCCAGGCGGGGACCGCCGCAGCCCACACGACACCCGCCGACGCGGCGCCTTTGATTTCAGCGCGCCCGCAGCAGTGTCCGCCCCCCGCACGCGCAGTCAGACCCGCGCGGCCCCGGAGCCCCCCGCGCCCCCAGCCCCCGGGACTCATCGCCGGGCCCTCCACATCCCACTCCCCGCGCCCCCATCGCTAGAGCCCGCGGCCGCGCAAGTGCAGGCGCGTCGCCGGGCTCAGGGACACGGCTGCCCCAGCGCGGGACGCTGGGGTCGCAAGGGCCGCGGGGCAGGGGCACGTTTCCCCAGCACAACCGGACCGCCGGGGACCGCAGAGCCCGGGGCTCGGTCCTGGCAAGACCGCGGATGGCCGACGCCGGGTCGGGGCCCGGAGAGGGGAAGAGGGTCCGGCAGGGGGAGGGGGGGAGGGGAGACGCCGGGCCGGGGCCGGGTCGGGTGTCCTCCGTCCTCGCCCCCCGGCCGCCCCGGGCTCCGACCGCCGCGGGGACGGGCAGCAGCGCGGGCCAACGGGGGCGCAGGGCGGCGGGCGCGGCCAATGGCAGGCGGCCGGGGGCGGGGCAGCGGCGCGGCGGAAAGCCCTGGAAGGCGGCGGCGGCTACCTGAAGAACAGGGTCCGGTACATCTGGTGCGCCTCGTAGTAGTCGCCCTTCTCGACGCTGGCGCGCAGCTTGCCCTCCACGCGCTGGACACCGCCGCGGTTCCGGGCGCCGTTCCGGGCGCTCTCCTGCTCGGCCATCGCCGCCGCCGCCATCAGGCCGGCGCTCCGCGCAGGGCTGACGCTGTCGCAGGCGCGGTCGGCAGCGCCTCTCGGCTTCCGTCCCGGCGGCCGCCAGACGCCCTCTACGGTGGCCCGCGAGGAGCCGCGCGCAGCTGGAGGCGGGCGCTTCGGCGGGCGGCCACGTGACCGCGGGGCGGGGCCGCGGCGGGCGGCCACGTGACCGCGGGGGCGGGGCTGCAGAGTCTGCGAAGAGACGGCCGTGGGGCCGCAGGGCCGCAGGGCCGCGGCGGGCGCCCTCGTGACCGCGACGGGGCACGCGGACGCCACAATGGCGACGGCGCGTGACGTCAGAACGCGGGCGCCGGGCCTGCGCGCCACGAATGCGCCCAGGGCTGGTGGCCCGAGGCCCAGCAGCCACCAGTTGAACGGTCTTTGGGATACCAGGATTCTGAAATAAAAGCCGTGTTTTCGTGCTTTCTGCCGCGGGCCGCCCCGGGGAGGTGAGGGTGACTAAAGCCGCGTCCTGTTTGGCCGGGTTTGGGGATCAAAGAGAGCCAAGGCCAGGTGACACGTCACCGCTCGAGGAGCCGCGGTCGGCCCGTTTGGACACAGCACGGACTGTTAACGCGGAGCTGGCGGTCTGGGGGAGAGGGGACAAGAACGGACGCGGGGTCCGGACCCGGGGGCGGGCACGGGTACAGGTTTTCCATCTGAAGGCCCCTGGATTTCACAGGGCTAGCCAACTCTCGAGACGCCCGGGGGTATGCAGCAGAGAGCCCCTGTTTGCACACCTGTTGTTGGTGTTGGGAGAAGTTCGAGCAGATGTCCATCCGCTGGGGACTGGTTCTAACTGAAGAGTTACA